TGAGCTACTAGGACTTGTCTTTTTCCTCTCTACAGTAAACTGTTTCATTGTTGCTTTCCTAGTGTGGCTGGTATTACCAATGTCAGCAAAAGATGTCTGATTACATTAACTGAAGCCATTAGAAACTTGCTGTATATATGTGTCTGGTATTTTTCTGTCTATTTAATAATCACAGCAGGATAAAATGTTTAAGGCCCAGATAGTTGGTATTTTTAAGAAGGAAGTTTACATGCTTCAGGTTTTATAATTTATGCCTTTCCATTTCCTATGTATATTTTTTTTAAATAATAAGATCAGCAGTTCCCTTGGACTCCCTCAGACAGTAGTTAATCACTTCTGTTCAGCTTTTTTCTACCTTTCAATGTTTCTCTTTTCTTTCTATTAAGATACATAGCAGAAATCTATTTCTTTGGACAAGTATTTTAAAATAATTTATTTCCTTTAATATGTCCATTATATATAACTATATTCCTTTAATATAGGATGAATGATGAGTGATTTCACAATGAGGAAATAATGAGACTTACTAAAATGTCCCATTCAGCAATGAATGTTTTATTTGCAGAGTTGCTAGGAGAAATATGCTAACCATAAAAAAGTCTGAGGCTCTCCCAGAGTATAATTATTACTTTATCCCTTTTTGTTGTCTTGATTGTGACTGACAAATATGATGGCTTTAGCATCATATGCTTTAGTTGACATTAAAAGTGTATGAATAAACTATTAAAAAAACTTCATCTTGAGGTGAAATGGCTAACAAGTGACAAATGGGTTGTCTGAATGAGGTAAGGTGGGAGTACATTAGCCTGACAAAATAATGGCACTATGAGAAATCTTTGAACTGGACACACAGTATTCTACCTTTTACCTGTCATGGTCTTATGGAGCAACAGGACTTCTCCACAAACTCCTGTTGTAATTGAGAATGCTTCATGGTGCATCTCCCCAGTCTGTGGCCTGTCCCCAGAAGGGCTGGAATTGGTAATCTGTGAACTGGAAGAAACTAATGAAAGCAAGATAATTGTGTTATAATGGTTCAAAAATACTCCATGTTAGAGTTGGACAACTGCAATTGTCAATGTGGGCGAGAAATACAGATATGCCACTAACTTTAGAATGACAAAATTCTCATCTGATATCTGACTTTTGTAGAAACCAAAGTTCAATGACAAATATAAATTTTCAGGCAGAGAGAGCTTTTCTACTTAGTCTAGCTATTATGCTTGTCTAGCCTTGTTTCAGAACATTCAGCTCTTAGTTAAAAAGAATAATCAAATTTTGGGTGCTCACTAGTCAAATTATAATCAATAGGAGTACATTCTTTATATACATCTACATGAGAGCTTCCATAATTATCATACCTTTTTTTCTGCTATGGCCTTGATGATGACAAGTTTGCAATAAATCTTAGACTTGCAGTTGATGCAGGTGTTAATGTATTTTATTTTTAAGGCATGAAAGATAGAAAGAGTCTCCTTGGAGAAATCTGATTTTATTCAGCCTATACATTTCCACTATAAGACAGGAAAAAAAATACATGCTGTTAAAGTTCTACTTTAAACTACTAGGAATAGATGATAGACTGAAAGAAATATCTGATATATTTTTCTTCATGTACTGATTGAAAAACAAACCAGACCTTCCAGGTTTTCTTCCATTTTACTTTAATGCTGTGTTTTCCTGTTGAAATGAGAAGGACTAATTCAACTTTACAAAATAGAAAAGAAGCCAAGATATAAATATTTATTGAATAATTCAGAACCAACCTATTGAAAAACTTCCACTCTTGAAACTTATTGGAAAATCTCTGTAACATGGAATATAGATTTGATGAAAAAAAGATCATGAGAGCAACAAATCTATTTGTCATCTGTATAAGAATACTTAGTCATTTGAGTAATATAATCAGGGAGTGCAATGATATAGACATAGAACAATACAGGGCCAAGAATAAAGTCCTGTGGGACATCAGCTGTAAGTGAAAAAAGACTTGATTAAGGATGGCTGTATTAAATAAGAAGTGAATGGTCAGGCAAAAATAACTTTAGCCAGCACATGTTAGCTTTAGTGATACATCTAGAGCACAATGAATAAGCAAAGGTGATTGTGAATATTCAGAATAGAAGACTGATGGCATTTCATTCGAGCAAATATTAAATTGTGTTCATGAACATGTGTATCTTGATCATTTCAGGTGATTAACAAAATGACACCATTTAGTGGATGTCTCCAGTAGACAGTTATAAATCCACTCTGGCAATGAGAAAAACAAGTTTTAACTTGTGGCGATATATGCAATACAATAAGCACTCTGGGAATAAGTTAGTTGAACAGATCTTCACCAGTGATCATAATGATAATGACAAAAAAGGTGTGCAAAGAGACAACGAGAACTGCTGCAGGTGAAGGCTTGAAAAGTGTGGAAGGAGCCTTACCAGAGGAGTAGCTGGTATATGTTTTTATTTTGGTGGGTCAATAGAAAACAAGGTAGGTTGTTTATACATTGAGCTATGATACGAGATTAATGATTTAAAATTTATTTTAAATTTCTTTTATTAATTTTAGTGTTAGGAAAATATAGGAAGATTTGGGAAACATGGTTCTAGTAATCCCAAGATAAATATTCAGCAGTCTAATTTTCTGCACTTTTTGTTTGCCATGCAACAGGAATCACCTGGTCCTGTTTTCCCTTCTTTATTTACTTTGCATTAGTCTTTATTAAAATGATCTCAATTTCCCATCATGGGGTGATTTTTAAGTCTTTTAAAGATTTATGTCTCCAGTTCCTCAGCATCTGATATCACTTCATGAACAGCACCACTTTCCAACATATTTTTGTTCAAATATACAAAGGTCATATTCTTCATCTGCTCTTTTCTCTCTAATTATCTGACTGATTTTATTTGCAACCTGTGTAGTCATAGGAGCCTAAGCTGGAAACAACCAATTAGATCAGACTGTCCCTCCTCTTGCCAATGTGGAACATAGTCCCCCAGACAGAGGACACACGCCTGATTTTAGCTAAAAGCTGAGAAGAAGCCTCCTGATCTTCACCCACTGAAATTCAAACTCTCATCTGTTATTAATCTGTTTTCAGAAAATGATTACCAGAACATCTGCTCATGCCCAGTAAATTTTTACTTCCTCCTCTTAAAGCTGACTTCCCCAGTGGACTGATGAAAGAGACTTTCTTCAGCTCATTCTGCTCTTTAAAATAACATTGGTCCACTTAATAAATGTTAGCTGAAAGTGATGTTGTGATCTTAGTAGTTCGTGTTACAGCTATAAGGGAAATAAGAGCAAAATGATTGCAAAATGAATAGTAGGATTTCCATCTACCCTTTTTTTCTTTTTTTTTTTTTTTTTTTTTTAATCAAGAAGCATTATGAAACATTCAGCAAATGCGTGGTTGGTGTTTATACAAAGTTGTAAGCATTTATACACTTTGAAAAGATTAAATACTATTCTAAAATGCTGATGTTTGTGATATGATACAGCTTTATTTGGCAATGTATATAAATTGTATGTAAAATGCAAAAAAAAATTCACTGTGGCTGAGAGGAGAGACTTTTCTGAGGTAAATGTGTTACAATAGTCTTAGATTTAGACATACATTTAGATTGTGACTCATATTTCTCTTTAAAACTTTCTTAACTCAAAGCTTTTGACAAAGAGAACTTTCTTGATGTCACTTTCCAACAGAAGATGCTAAGTTTCCATGGATATGGCCTACGTTCCCAGATTTGTAGGGTTATGCTGCTTGTCGATTATAGTGACGTTAAGCTATGTCTGTTAACGTTCCTTCTCTAGACTTACACAAATGTTTGTACATATAACAGGCAACTACTCACAGGTGAGACACCCAAGTTTTGCATGTAAGCCCAACATGTAACTCAGCTATGTTTCTCATCAAGTTGGACACCTTACTTCAGTTTTCTTGTCTCACTTCCAAATTTCAGGATGTATGAGGGAGTGCAAATAGAAGTTCATGCTCCCTGAAGGGAGGGGACTGTCTTGATCCTTACACATATTGGGGTGGGAAAATGCAAAGTGACAGTAGCACCAAAGATACAGCATGCACACAGCTACACAGAAATCATTAATCCTATGGCATTAATCAAGCCTTTAAAGTCTTCCCCTGTCCACTTCCATGACTTTTGCACAATATGTTCTCAAGTCCTCTTTCTAATCTCCATCCCAAATTTTATTCCATTCATTTCCACAGTAAGCATTTATCTGTATAATTTACTCATATATTTCTGTGCATTAAGGAAAATTCCATATCAACATGCCTATGCTTAAGTTTAATTTTCACGTTTTTGCCAGAGGTGTTGTTTTCTGATCTTAGAGTGCCTTTGTGTAGCTTGGATGGGCTACTAGGACAACACCCTCTCAACAGCCCAGATCACAGCAAACTGGCTGTGTAGAGGCCCTCTTGTGTAGTCTTCTGCCTCTGCACAGCGTGGCAGTTATTTACATAAACACTAGTTTCATGTGTCTCTTCAGAAGTAAAATTTAAATATTTAGTTTAGGGTTGCTACTCCAAATACAGATATTTGGGGCAGTAAATATTGGGCCTGATCCCCTGTGAGGAACTACTATTCTGATCGAGTGTCCAGGAAATAGTTGGGCAAAACTGAGAGTGGGAACCTAAAGCAAATCCACTAATGAAGTCAGATGACTTACAAAATAATTTAGTGTGGAAGCTGAAGTTTGGGGGTGTATAGTTCACATCAATTCAAAATCTGGAACTGTAGCCTTCTGTCTTCGTGGTGCACACACAGTTACACTGTAGGCAGTAGTTTAATGGGTTTTAGAGCACTAGAAGATTCAGCTTTTAAAGAAAAGGTCACTTTTAAGCCCAGTTATAACAGAAGTTGGTTATTCACTGTGATTGCCTACTGTTGCACAATTTAGTTGGAGTTGACACCTTGAAATCTTATTACTGTATTCTGTTAAGTAACAGTGAAATACATTGTTCTCACTATTTTATGTTTCAGAATAAAAGCCAAGGATTGAGTTTTGTCCGTATACATGCACCTTGGCAAGTACTTAGTCGAGAAGCGGAACTCCTTAAAATAAAAATGCCCACTAAAAAGGTAAGTATCTTCCATTTTCTATCAGTTGTATGATTGGAGAACAGGGGATCAGAATGACAGTTAAATGCATAGAAGCCCATGGAGTTACTTTATTTCAAAATCAGAACAATTGAACTGTTAGGCTTATTCTTTCACATTATTAATTACTTTGAGATGATTTAGTATTCAGAGTCATATTTAAGATGGGATTTTCAAGGGGTTTTTCAAAGGCTACAGAGGCAACTGGCTAACAGTCTGCATTCAGAAGAGTGATGACAGAGGTGAATTTTAAGGAGAGCTTTGAAAGCTGGGAAGGCAGTAGCTATTTCGATTTTTGTTGAAGAACTTTCCTCAAAGGTGAGGTACAGTATGGGAGACAGTATGATAGCTAGTCATTACCTTAAGATTTCTCTGAAGTCTGCGGATGCTGAGAGTCTGTTTTGGTAGTATCAATGACTTAGTGAATTCAGACTTGCATATTGCCATTAAAACTTTGGCTCACCATCTTCTTTACAGTCTGCTTTCAGCAGAGTTGCTGGCAAGCATTACAAATTCTGAGTAGCAGATCCCAAAATTTGTGGTCCCGCAATGATTTAGCATGTTGCCTAATAACTCCACTGAAGTCAGTGGAACTGCCTTGTGCTTTCAGTTAGTGGTACTCATCAACTGTACTACTGAATACTTATTTTATTGCATTGTCATTAGAATTGAAGGAAAGACCAATTTAATTTTCTTCCATGGGGTTATTTGTTTTTTTGTTTGGGTGTTTTTTTTTTTTCCCCATATTGATTGTTTTCACCCAGCAAAAGCTTCAGTGTTGTTCAAATCTCATGGTATTACAATCTGCCACTGTCAGAAATTTGGCCAAACCAATCTTGTATAATGTTACTATATTGAGTTTGCATCCTAGGATAAAAGAAATCTGGTTACTTCTAATCAGTCTTTGAAAATTAATAGATTTTGGACAGCTACAGTACCTCTGTCCCTTCTGGCATATTGATGATGTGTAGACCCTTTCTAGAAATAGACCCACATGCTCAACTCCTCTCTGATCCCTTTTCAGCTTTGTTCTTTTTGTGCATTTTTAGTGCCTGCTCACTTCTTCCTCCTTCCCACATGGGAATTTTCCCCTCATAACATTTTGCAGATACACTGAAGCAAGTTTTACACTATTTTAGTTGATGAATATTGCCATCATGTTGTTCTGAGTTAAGGTTTGTCCAGGAGCTGATAGTCTCCAATGGCTGCCCTAGTCATTCATGAAGAGTTCCACACCCCTTTCTCTGCTCTGACTGGGAGAAAATATGCACAATGTATCATAAGGCTCTAAACCCACAGAATTATCTGGGGCATCTAAAGACATCTAAAAATATTGACAGATTACTTCATTTAACTACTATACATTGTACATTATTTATATCACCTTTTCCTTTAAAGCAACAGATTTCAGTAAACAAATCAGGTCTGTGCACACTTAATGTTGAGTGAGGTTGCCTCATAACTGACATTTATTGAATATTATGACAAATATTCAAAGAGTGAATGAACATCCAGTCATTGATTAGGCAGTTATGAAAACAGCATTCAGGTTTGTATTTGTGATTTATTTTGGTGTGTAAAAGAAGACTAAATGAAATATGTCTACCAACAAAGAAACCAGATATCAATTTTCCTGAAAATTCACCCTAGGGTAATAAGTTGTTTTGTATAACTTAAAAGTGATATGACATTTTGAAGGAGAAGACTGCTGACAACTCTTTTTGACTACATTATTCTGTCATTATTTCAACTGCAGAAATGGAGCACAGAAAGCAAGCATGACAGGAAAACTATGTTCATGTCTTATGGGTTTTTTTGCAAGTAAAGACAGTTGGAAGAGGAATTTCCTGTGAAGAAATCAAAAATCGACTTCAAAAAACTGAAATCTTGTATTTTGGGGATTTGGCAATACAAACTGAAAAATTCAGCCAGTAACCACTAAAAAGGAAATTCTGGTTTTGTTCAAAGACACAAAAGGTTGTTTTCCAGGCACATTAGGTATTTTCTGTGATGCTGATTTTATTTATTTAAACATCCAATGAAACCATAAAGAAAGCATTTATCCAGTTCTAAACATGATGAGCTGTTTGCAAAATTTTTTTTTTTTCAAATATTCAGTCTTAAATAATTTTTCAGGACAAATGACATGCAGGGAAAAGATACTTTTTGAACAACTTTAACTACATGTATACTTCCAGATATGACAATACAGTTAATTTTGATGAATGAGAACGGGCCGCACTTGAATATGAGTATGAGAAATAAACGGTATGAGAAACAAGCAGGACCGACTGGAAGCTTTTATCCGTTCCCAAAGCTATGATATGTTTACTATTAGTGAGACTTGGTGGAATGACTCCTGCAGCTGGAGAGCTGGTATGAAGGGCTATAGGCTGTTCAGGAGGGACAGGTAGGGCAGGAGAGTTGTAGTTGTACTGTATGTAAGGGAGAAGTTTGACTGCACAGCCCTTGCAGTTAGAGATGGTAGGGGTGAGCGTTAAGGGGATGGAAAACAATGCAGATGTCATTGTGGGTGTCTACTATAGGTTGCCTATCCAGGATTATAAGACTAATGAATTATTCTATAGGCAATGAGGAGAAATTTCTGGATCAGTAGCCCTTGTCCTTATGGGAGATTTCAACTTCTCAGACATTAACCATACTGCTGTGATGAGCAAGTCTGAGATATTCCTGAAGTGTGTTGAAGATAATATATTGTCATAAATACTCAGTGAGACAACTAGGAAAGGTGTCTTTCTAGACTTGCTATTTTTGAATAGAGAAGGACTTGTGGGAGATGTGATGGTAGGTGTCTGTCTTGGCCACAGTGATCACAAAATGCTTGAGTTTAAAATTTTCAGTGTAATGAGAGGAAACGTCAGCAGCGTTGTTACCCTAGATTTCAAGAGAGAAAACTTTAAGCTACTTAGGGAGCTAGTTAGCAGTGTCCCATGGGAATCTGTTTTTGAGGGCTTAGGAGTCCATGCACGCTAGTCAGTTTTTAAGAACCATCTTTTAAAAGCACAGGAGCAGGCAATTCCACTGTATTGTAAGTCAAGCAAGTGGGGAAGAAGACCAGTTTGTCTGAGCAGGGAACGCAGAGAGCTCAGGAAGAAAAAGAAATTGTACCATCTCTGGAAGCAAGGTCAGGCTTCGCAGGAAGATTACAGAGCTGTGGTTCACATACTCAGGGAGAAAAGATGCTCATCTAGAGTTGAAACTGGCCAGTGTTTTGTTAGACAACAAAAAGGCTTTCTAAAGTATGTTAATAGAGAGAAGAGGTGTAAGGAAAATATTGGACCAATACTTGTTCAAGATGGTCACCTGACAAATAGGGATGAAGAAAAAGTGGAGGCTTTCAATGCCATTTTTGCTTCACTAATATTAATGATAGACCTTGGGCTGCCTGTTTGTTGTGGTTTAACCCCAGCCAGCAAATAAGCACCACACAGCCACTCGTTCACTCTTCCCTGCTTCCAGTGGGATAGGGAGGAAAATCAGGAAAAAAAAAGTAAAACTCATGAATTAAGAACAGTTTAATAATTGAAATAGAATAAAATATAAAAATAATCAATAATAAAAATATTAATAATAAAAATTATTAATTTTAATTGTAATGAAAAGGAACATGACAAAAAAACAAGAGAAATATAATCCAAGAAAAGGCAAATGATGCACAATGCAATTGCTCACCACTCTGATAGGTGCCTGAGCAGGGATCCGCCTCCCAGTCAACTCCCCCAGTTTCTATACTAGGCATGATGCTCTATGGTATGGAATATCTCTTGGGCTAGTTCAGGCCAGCTGTCCTGGCCATGCTCCCTCCCAGTTTCTTGTACATCTGCTTGCTAGCAGACCATGGGAAACTGAAAAGTCCTTAACTTAGGATAAGCACTACTTAGCAACAACTAAAACATCAGTGTGCTATCAACATTATTCTCACACTGAATCCAAAACACAGCACTGTACCAGCTACTAGGAAGAAAATTAACTCTATCCCAGCAGAAACCAGGACACTGGTCCTCTGAGTCAGAGGACCACAACTGAGGGAACAGTGACTTTCCATTTGTGGCCACTGAATTTGTAAGGGCCTATCTGTGTCAGCTGAATGTTCATAAGTCCATGGGCCTGATAGGATTCATCCCAAGGTACTGAAGGAGTTAGCAGATGTTACAACAGGACCCCTTTCAGTCACCTTTCAAAGGTTTGGGGAGACTGGGGAGGTCCCTGCTGACTGGAAGCTGGTCAGTGTTATTATGATTTACAAGGATTAGAGGGAAGACCCAGGAAACTACAGACCTGGTAGTCTAACCTTGGTACCTGGAATAATTATGGAGAAGATCATACTGGGTGCTATTGAAAGGCATTTAAAGAACAATGCAATCATCAGGAAGAGTCAATATAGTTTCATGAAGTGAAAATCCTGTGTAACTAATTTTATATCCTTCCACGATAAGATTTCCTGCCTTGTGGATGATAGGAAGGCATTAGGTGTAATTTTTTCTGGATTTTAGTAAAGCTTTTGACAGTGTCCCTCACAGTATCCTTCTGGACAAGTTTTCCAGCTGTGAGATGAGCAGGTACATGATGCACTGGGTGAAGAACTGTTTGAACAGCAGAGCTCAAAGGGTTGTAGTGAATGGGGCTGTGTACGGCTGGCGACCGGTCATCAGCAGTGTTCAGCAGGGCTCAATTCTATGGCCACTTCTGTTCAATATATTTATCAATGATTTGGATGCAGGAGTTGAATTCACCATTAGCAAGTTTGTTGATGATACTAAATTGGGAGTTGCTGTTGACTGTCTTGAGGGGCAAGAGGCCTTGCAGAGGGATCTAGATAGATTGGAGTATCATGCATCAATAGCATGAAATTCAACAGGAACAAATGCTGGATTCTGCACCTGAGATGAAATTACCCTCAGGCACAAGTATTAATTGGGAGAGGAGTGTCTGCAGAACAATCCTGCAGAGAGGGATCTGGGGGTGCTGGGCAGCAGCAGGCTCAGTGGGGGTCAAGAGGGCAAACCCCATCCCGGGGTGCATCAAACACAGCATGGCCAGTCCAGCAAAAGAGGTGATTATCTGGGTAATGAAGGTGGTGAAAGGACTGAAAGGAATGTCCTATGAGGAGAATATAAACTCGTGTTTGGTAAGGTTGTCTGAGTTTCAGGAAAAAATACCTTCACATCTCTGAGAAGCTCCCTAGCACTTTACATTAATGTGAATCAGCAAAAGCTAAATCCTTGCGCTTAAAACTGCCACGTAGCCATGAGCCTGGTCTCCTCACTTCTAATGGCATGTGTTCATGAGCTGTTAGACAATACTAGTAAATATTACACAGGAATAATTTATTCTGCCAATAATACTGCTCCCGCTTCTTCCAGTTACAAAGTCAAAATAATTAACTCTGCCTTTCCGTCATCTCCCTGCAACTCCTAGTTTAGTTAGCAAGTACGTTTCTTGTATTAACAATTCTGCACTGAGTTTTCTTCTGGAAGCAGCTTGTGAAGGACAAGAACTTTTTGGAACTGAAATCCTTACGGATTCAGGTGCTTACTGTTTTATGGGAATATATCTTCAGAGAAGACACATATTTTAATTACAGATTTAAACCTATATGTATAAAAAATTCTTTTTTTTTTTTTAATTATTTTAGTGAATTTTTGGAAGTGACATGCTAATGTGCAGTATTTTATTTACTCAGATTTATGAAATCACAGAAGAAGGGGGAATACTCAAAAAGTTAAACAAAATATGGTGCAAATTGACTGAACCTCTGCAACCCCAGGTGCCACAACAAGAAAATACCAACATGAAAAGCCTGTCTTACCCATTTTCCAGAGAGAAAATATATTTGTGAGTACTTTACATTGTGATGAGCAATGAAGAAAGCTATACATTATAATTTTGGTATTGTCATTTATTCTACCAGTATTTCAATCAAGCTTCAGAAATTGAGTATTTCTGCAAATCCTGAGGGAATACCCAAATTGTCAGATTATTTCTGGATAATATTTCCAAGTAATAAAAGCAAATATCTTCATAAAACTAAACTTATTGAAGGCTAAGTAAATAGTTCTAAAATAAATGAACACGCATTGGCACCTATTTCAGTTTCAGTGGATTAACAAAAATCCAATGTGTAGAGATTTTCTGCCAGTGTTCTACTTCTGTCTGCTGGATAAGGCACTGGAAGCAGTGCAACAAATAAAATATCAATGTTTTTAGCTTGAACTATAAAAATACTACCACCAAATTCCTGATTATTTCATTAAGGATATTGCTGCCTCTTTTGAAAAAAGAAAGAGTTAGAAGATATCTGATAATATTTTTCCTCAATAGCTTTATTATAGCAATTAAAATTTGGCTAATACTATGCAGATAAGGAATTTTTGACACCTGCCCTTTCACTCAGAATAATACTGCTGGGCTTAGTTTGATATTAAACACTCCTTTTTTCCTCATGGGTGTCTCCTTGTATTTATGTCTGATAAATAATATTCAGTAATAAATATAATGACACAGTATATCACTTATTGTCCTCTCTGACAATTTTAATTAATACTGAATACAAGTCAAATTGATTGAGGGGAATAAACTGGGAAGGTAATTTCACATATGATGATTTTAAGGTTTAAGAGAATGCATAACTCCAGTGAAATGACTATTTGAGAGCAAGTACAATGTTGACTGGTTAGTTGCCTGGAAAAGAGTAATGAACATCTGCATTAGGCTAGTTGAAACCTAATAATACCTGAGAATGTTAAAGTGTTGAGGGTATGTTATAAGGAAAAATTAAAAGGTCATCTTGTGTAAATCATAGACAATCTCTCCTTACCTGAAAGGCATTTTATGTTAATATTTTTTCAATTTTTGTGCCCACCATCATTACAATCCAGGTAGAACTCTGCATGACTAGGCTTTAAATAGCAGTCTATTATGCTGTACTCTTTTATCTCGATTTCTTTTAAACATCTGTTTTTTTTTGTTGTGGTTTATAAATTAATTCTAAATCAGAACCTTATATGTTATCTTGATTATTACTACCATGTCTTAAAATATAACTGATTTTTTTTCCCATCAATGTTTTAGGTTTAACATTAAAGACAAAGACACCTTTTTTGACAATGCTACCCGCAGCCGAATAGTAAGTAAACAAAAGTACATATCATTGACTTCTTGTGCTGAAGGGGATTTGCTTTAATAGTGAGTGTTGGTGATGACTTTGCTAATTTCATCACTTTATGCATTTATCTGCCCTTGAAAAACACTAAGCAGTCATAACTATCTAAGAAATATCCTTCCTGAGCTGCCCAGTGGTCCAGGAGTAGGAGATGCTATGTAGGGAAACACTGCTGCTGACTACTCCCTGTTGCTCAAAGTTGTTATTGAGCTCTGCTTCCTAACCTTTAACTAGATTTTATTACATGATAAGGACCAGCTCTACAGTCTTATAGTAACTTCCTAGATCTAACAGTCTTTGGTGGGAAATCTTGTATCATGTTCCTGAGATCCTGCTAGGTCTCCAGCAGGCTGGTGAGGCAAGATTTCTCTTTACATATGAAACACAAGCTCTTCCCTAATGTGCTATGCTCATCCACACACACTTGGGTTTCACAGATATAGCATACTTACAGACCACTTCTTGTGCATCTTGATGTTATACTTCCAAATGTGAAAGCTATTTTTTTTTTTACAAAGTCAGATTTTGTTGTGATTTTCTTTAGTGTAAAATTCTCATTTACCTGAAGTCCATATATTTCATATAGTTTTATAAGGACGGGACACAACAGGAATTACCCTACAAATGTTAGGGCAGATAATCCACTAGTAAGACTTGGCATAGCATTGTTAAAGGTTAGCTAATGGCCTAAAGTCATGCATTTATGTATGAGTGAAACATAGGATTTAAATGTATGTCCAAATGAACTCTATAGAAGGCTCTTTATTTTAAAGTTATGTTTTGTTGCTAGCTCCCTGGTAAAAGTTATGCTGAAAGACAATTTGTGTGTTATATCACTCTTCCACAGGTACGTGAAATTTTGAAGCGCACATCTACAAAGGCCAGAAACAGCATGGGTAAGAAGAATGAAATATAATTATATGTGTTGTTTTGAAAGGAATTGTTTAGGTATCTCACAGAATATTTGTTTTTATAGTAGAACACAAAAGTATGCTGGTACATTTTCACAAAAAAAAAAGAGATTGAAACAAATGATTTTTCTGAGAAATAAAATCAGACTTTCTGGTCCATGGTTTGGATAGGACATGGTAATAGGAGCTTGCTTTTCTTTTCTATAGCTGCAGGATCTGGCACATAACTTTCATCTCATGACTTGTAATAAACTTGTGTTTGATTATGATATGATCTGCTTTTGAAAATTCAGATGTCAACTACAGTATGTTGTATTATTTTTTCCAGGAGCAGACTTTTTTTGCTATTTCAGTAGAATAATACATCTTTCCAGGATATTTTTATCACTGAAGCTTTAAAAATTGTGTCCATGAGCTGCATATAGTGAAATATGACTGTTTTGAAGATACTGTGTGATACTTTTGGGGTACCCCTGAAGTATTTGGAGCTTTTGTCTTCCTGAGGTTCAGAACGTAGACATGTGTACTTACTCCCTTCACTCTTTTCTTTCATCCATTGTGTTATCATGACACATATCTCCCTGGTGGCCAAGAAGTGATAGTGCTCCTTCTCTGGCATGTTTTTTGGAAGTCCTTTTGTAAGTTTGACCAGATCACAATGGCCTAGGGTAATGTACTTTCAAAGAATAACTGCACTGTAGGAAGAGACTCCTGCACAGTCTTGCTGTAAATTTGTGCAGTGAAGCTGCAGTAACAGATTTCTTTGGTACAGCAGCTGGAGTGGAAAACAGATTAATTTAGGTTTTCCTGAAATAGTGACATACTTTTTTTTTTTTTTTTTTTCAAATTATATGAAAGATACCTAAACCAAGATACTTTCTCTTTTTCAACCAGAAATAGTTGGCTTTGTCCAGTATGAACGTTTAACTGTATGATTATTACACTGTTTCGTTTTAAAAAAATGAAAAGATGGATGAGAAAATGTCAGGCATTCTTAATTTCTAAAACATTGTTCAGCTGGTGTCTGTTTTGTTCACTGTTTGCTCTGTGTTGTTCCGTTCTGCTCAGAGGCTCTGGTGGGGCAATAGATAGGAATGTGATCTTATTTTGCTGGATTGCTCCATTTGGCATCTGAGGAACCCTCCTGGTGACTGGGGAGGCCATGATTTCCCTGGTTGCTGTGGAGCCTCTGCAAGTAGATTTTTTCAGAGTGCAGATTGTTAGAAACAAGGCAGTGTAAGGTATATAAAACAAGAAGCCTGAAGTGCAGCAGGGATACTAAGACTTTGTCAGTTACTGGGCCAAAAGAGAACGCTTGAAAGAAGCGTTCTGTCCTACAAGAACACAGTAGGAAGGGAAAGAGCACTTTACCAATCGGGATTTTTGCCTCTTACCTAAAGTTTTCTCTATTTTAATATCTTGTTCTATTTTATAGTGTAATAAAAGCCACCACTAGAGACCAATGCATTAGTAGTGATTGATTTTTCGGGCTTTTTTTTTTACTCTAAGGTGAAAATACAGGTTGATACACTTCAAGATCAGGTCAGCTCAAGGTGCCATTTGACATGAAGCAGATACTTTAACCCTTCTGACCTTCCCATCTTTCTGGCCCATAGACAAAACATAATTATATATCACTTCTGACTTAAATTTACTAATTGATTTGGTCTTCTGAGATCCTCCCTCAAAGGTCTTATGCTTCCTATGTCACTAAGGTTTTCCCAACTCGCTGGTCTTAAGACTTAAGCCTATTCATTATGAGTGGTTTAAAAGATTTCTTTAAAAATCCTTGGTTTACTCTTTTTTTTTGTTTGTTTGTTTGTTTTGTTTTGTTTTGTTTTGTTTTGTTTTGTTTTGTTTTGTTTTGTTTTGGTTTGTTTTGGTTTGTTTTGGTTTGGTTTGGTTTGGTTTTTTTTTACTTTCTTTTTTTTTTTTTTTAACTTTCCATTGCTTATTTTGCATAGGAGGTAGAACAGTGATGTTGGAAGTATTTATAGCAGTCTTTAGCTTTCATAAACACATGCTTCGTAATGTAATAGGAGGAAAATAACAATACTTCAAACACATTTTCTTGTTGAGTTTTATATCTGTGTAAGGCTGAATCTGATTCCACTTCCATGACATTATGCGAGGAAGGTATATTTTCTTCTAACATAAATCTGAATCATTGTAAACTTTCCGAACATGGAATGCTTTCAGTAGAAGATTTGACATTATCCAAAAACGAAGATTTCCTGATTCTATTAATGCATGTAGTAGTAAAGGTATTTGTCTTGTCCCAAGAAAGATGTTTATTGGCAATGACTATCTAGCATCTCTGACCAGAGGGTTTTTGCCAAACATTTCTGAATGATAGTTTGACTACGGAAATTTTTTTCTATTGTAACTAGCTGGTTATTTTTTATTGGGCATTGAAAGCAAAGAGATCTTAAATAAACTGCTAATCTTATCTTTAACTGTCATCTTATGGAACATTTGTTTTCACCTGCAGAGACTGAAGACAGAGTGGCTGTAAGAGTCATAGATGTTGAGAGTCAGTAGTGGTCTTGTGTATCCCTATAGGTGCTGTAGTCATTAGCTAGGGATTGAGTTGCTGGACCCCCGGTAGTACACGGTCACTGTGATAGTGCCATGCCCCTATATCTTCCTGTACTTTTCACCAGACTTCCTGTTTGCAATCTTTAGGACTCAGCAGTTTTTGTCCCGGTGCATCCAACTTTCCAGCATAACCATGGATTTGGTGAGCACAAACTGATAGAACTCTTGCAAAGAAGTGTTGTTTCAAACTTAGAAGGATGGCCTTATGTATTGATATGAGGAAGGGTAGAAACCACATTTGTTTCAGTGCAAACAAGGTCTAATCTAATATTAATCAATAGAGAGTAAGTGTTTCTTCAATCACAAAATTCTGTGAAAGTGTTTTTTGTATTGTTTGGGTGTGTTAGTGGGGATCCATGGTTCTGATCTTTGTCAAACTTCAAGAAGGACTTCCCGGGTGCTCTCCTCCTCAGTCACTCTGTTATCAGGATGAGAAAGTCGTCAAAACAGTCTTTGTACCATACTAGTTCACTCAAGAAAAAACACTATAATGAAATGGGCCTTTCTGTGAAAACATGTTTTCCATAGCCAGGTACTTCTAGATTGACAAGATTTTGAATATTTTAAGTAATACAGCTCTGCCCAATTTGTAATGTCATGAAATTAAATCTGTAATAATATTTTCTGTTTAACTTTGCCTAGCTGTTGACCATCTTAATTTATTTTTTTTTTAGGTATTGGCGCATTAATAGCAAACAATGTTTATGATGCAGCATACCCACTCCATGATGTATGTATATACTATTAAAAATCTAGTTTTCTGATGGTATTTCTCAACAGAGCATAGACATTAATGTTTATTGCCTGTGACAATGAAAATATATTCTAATTGTGGGATCCTAATATGAAAATTCTTATGCAAGTACATTTCAGGTTGTGACCTAAAAGTAAAATCAACAATGTAGGAAGAGCTGATCAATCTGTTATGACTTTTATCTGTTTTTACATCCATTATTAAATTATTTTCTTTTTCTAGGGTGAATACGAAGGCCAAAATGATGACATGAATGACAGAAAGGTAAAACACATTACAAAATTAATTTCATATTAGATTTAATGTGATAAATATGAATTAATTTCCTAAATGTTATTTTAAATCACTAGGCAGTGTTCAATCAAGTAAATGTTTTTACAAATGCATGTATTTTTTGCATTGCTTAATTTCCTGTATTTCTGCATGAAAAAAAATTTTCACAAGACTTTTTATAAAGTTTTCATATGAAGTATTTCATTGAATTTAATTTGATATTTACATCTTGAAATGTTTCAATTTCCCTCCACATGCATAGACAAGACTTTTCAACCTGTCAGGAAGCAAAAGTTGTTAAATAACTTATATGATTATTTTCCTTCCATAACAAGATGGTACTATAGAAAAATGTTCACTAGAATAAAACATAGCTGTATTTTTCATTTGATTGTGCATTCAATGAAATTACATGTAATTTCTAAAAGTCTGTTTCTAATTATTTTGTAAATAAAAAACTTCTAGCTTTCAAAAGACTTATGAAAATATATCATCCACCAGCTGTCTGTGCAAGAGAAATTGATGCATAAACAAAGGACTATGAATTCAGACTGGTTTTAATACATATGATTACTATCAGAAATGAGCAAAACCATTTAATTACTGTAGTCCGTTAAGATCCATTCCATATTGTTCTCTCATGTTTGCTCATTTTCTTTTTCCTTATTATACAAACAATAAGATAGGAAATGAAGACGGAAATTTGTGGGGAGAGAAAGGGGGGGAAGGGAAGAATGAAGAAAATGAAAACTTTTAGATGCCTAAAATATTTACTATACTAGAAGTTAAATTGCATATATTCTTGGTGACTTGTAAATTATTTCATAAATATTTTCACTCTGTGGTATTATATGTTGGTATGTGCCATTTGTTGCTTGAAGGAGAGGTAAGAAAATGCCATTAATTTCACAAAAAAACAGTGTAGTTCTCAAGAGTGTAACTGTCGCAAATGATGATTATTTGAGCATTTGAAATGAAGGCTGAGTTCCGAGTTCATACAAATAAATCTGTTTTCTCTAATGCTGGGTTAGTAAAAATCTGAAAACAGAGTCTTCTTTGTAGTTTTTGGTAAATAGTGTTAATGTTCAGCCACTAGATGTCTTCATGTGCCATATATAATTTAATTTAGTATATGAACCTTTGTAAACAGAAGAGACAAAGTTGGAAAATAAACTATAAAGAAGCTTGTATATTTATGTCTGTTATTTTGAACTTTTTGTTAATGAAGAAATTGTCTACTCTGCACTTGCAGAATTTTCTCTGAGTAAGTGATAACAGTGATACAGTAATGGACTCTGAAAGTCAGCTAAATAGTTTACTGACTTATAAAGCTAGCAAAATTTTTAGAGGAGAAAGGTAAAGGATCATTAGTCAATGAAGATTGGGTACTGTGGAATAGGGAGGGAAGAGGGTCTAAAAGGACTAGTGTCTGGAAAAATATTCACCCTACTAATTGTATTTTGTACTGCCTTCTTTTTATTCTGCCTATTAGTCTCAGTTATGAAGTGTTAAGTATTAAAAACATAAAAGCTTCTTTCCAGAAATACTTCATTGATTATTCACATATGTCTCTGCTGCCTAGCCATTGAATCTGCTGTAGTATTTCTATGCATAACATCATCTGTTTTCTATCTGAATCTAATAGTCTCAGTGTTTAATTTCCTGAAAAACCCTGATCAGGTTTAAAGGAAAAAGGGCATTTTTGAGCCTTTTTTTTCCCTCTGCCCCTTTTAATTTTTTCCATTTTAACTTATCTGTATCTTTCATTTCAATTGTCTGTTGTATAAGCCCCCCAAAAATGATGAACTAAGCCTGTCTGGGGTACTTATGCCAATAAGGCAGCACAAGTAATTAAGGTTTATGTACCAGTTCATAATATAAAAGGTTTATCCTTATTAACCCTCTTCAGGATTTCCTTGGAGAAAATGCACAGTGAAACAGTATTTCTGTCACATCCTATGAGAATTAGAAATCTGCAGTTAATGAAACCCACTCTTTTTCTAAGACTGTTGATTGGAGTAAAGGAATTTCCCTGTTTAAGTCTGATTTCTGGTCTAGAAATAGTCTTTTTAAGAAAGCTATTGCACAGCAGCATGGTATTAACTTGCCATGAATATAAACACTGACTTGGTCTTCTTTAAGCTTCTAGCCCACTGGCAACTTATAACCCTTCATTGCCAGCAATATGTTTGACATTAGCAACTACATGAGGGCTTTGTTACCTATCTGGGAAATACACTGTGTCATATACTACAACAACATCCCTAGATTATTAGAAGCAGATTGGAAAGTGTTATTATAAACTCACAGAAAGTACTTCTTTTAAATGAAGTTGATAAAATACAATAAACTATATTACAAAACTTGTCCTAGAATTATTCTCAATTTAAAAAATAACATAAAAGGAGCCACATTCCAGCTTTCAGATTAAGCTTAATCTTGGAAAATTGCAGTGTTGAGACTGAGGTTTAGTGTAAGCAACACACGTGAGTGGAAAATATTCATGCCATAGACTCACCTTCAGTGCTATGGCTTTTGGAATCAAGAATAACCAGCATGGTTCTGTAGTCTGACATAATGCCATAGCAACCTGTTCCTGAACTGACTGCAATTTTAGAAAGACCTTTCTTTTTGCTCTTCAAATTCCATTCTGTAGCTGCATTCAAAACAGCTTTTTTTGTTTGAAGAATTTAATAGCTTTAGCTTCCTTGTTTTATATATTTCAGTGAATGCATTTATTAGTAAGATTATTTATGGAAATAAATAAAATTGTAGGTAATGCTGTGGGGTAATGGCCAGGGGTGATTTTGACTAGGTAAACACAAGTATTCATATGAAAATATCAATATGACAGCCAGGGCAATCCTCTTCAACTCCTGTTGAAGCCAACGAAAATCAAATCTAGTCTCATAATTTCTTTCCACAAGTGCAAAGCATTTTGCAAGACCCTGCCCTACCCTAAAAAGCTAAGAGCGATACCCTATAAGCCAAGACTCCACACTCCTTGAATCTCATTGCCGAATTCCCAATTGCTTCAGCAGTGTAGGGTTTACTCCCTGACCCATGAACTAAAAATACTTTATGCTCTATCTTTAATGAGTATGCAATGGCATAGCTCATTTTAAAGGATCTGATCTCACCTCTCATATGCTCCTCTGTTGCTGGACACTCTTCAGTTCTTTTTTGAAAAGAGAGACAAAAGGCTTGCCACCTGTCTTTCTGGATGATACAGATTTATAATCTATAAATAGTAATGTGGTTAATTTAGTTCAATTTATTATCGTGTATTGGTTATTTGTTTATTATTTTTTAATGGACTCTGTACTTGAAGAAATAGTTTTCAATTAACATATTGTCATAGACTGCCTACAGTCTTTTCATAGCCTAAAACTGAGAAAAGAGTATGAACAACTCAGGTAGTTCCACAGAAAATCTTTCTCTTTTGCATGAGACTGACATGATTTTTCTTTTCCTCTGAAGATACAATACAGTGAACAGTCATCTAAAAAACATTGTGCTGATGTTTCCTTTGAACTTCCTTTGGTCTTCACAAAATTCTGGAAAGTTTCATTTTTGAATCTCCTTTCTGGTTTATTAATAAATTCATACACAATTATAAAATGTACTGTTATCAAATTAACTTTTTTACCAAATTGTTAATTGCATGGTAATTTCTATCCAGCAACTGGCTTTTGTTTCAGAACAGTGTGATGTCTTTCACACCACAATTACCAGTTTTCCTTACAGTCTCTTGTAAAACAGTGCCCCAGGTTTCTTTTTTTCTTCTTAAGAGTTCAGCAAGGTTGGGTAGCATAGATCACAGCAATGAAAGAGGGAATGAAAAAGACTCTGCTGAGTCCCTTGCCTATTTCAGTTGAGTGTATTTTGCTTAATATACCACAAGTCCTGAAATATTTCCTTTTATCCCTGACTCTGTTCCCACTGGATTCTTCCCACTGTAAGAAGTAGGATCTGTACTCTCCTTTGAGCTGTCTGTAAACTGTGGGTGAATTTGCATTCCCAACAGTAAACATGTGAACCTGTGTGCCCGTGTGCAACATGGGGCAAGAAGGGACTTTTATATGGGCTCTACTGGGTATAGTAGCCTCAGGAGCTGAGCAGGACACCAGATGGGTTTCGACACATTTATTACTTCTTGGTATGCTTTTATATGCTAGTTTACCAGTTTTGAACCCTCACCTCAGTTTGCTGCACCTTGGACCTGGAAACACTGGTCAGTAGTTATCTATCATGTGATTCCAGACGTTAAACAAATTACATCAGAGAAGAATTTCACTCTGTAAGTAGGATTATTTCTATCGTCTTTCCAAAGATTTCTACAGGACTACAGCAACTTTTATTTTTCCTTTTGAGCCTTTCTATTTAACATCTCTGTCTAATAAATGTGGTGGGGAGGAGGTAGGTATGTGGAGAAAGATGTGTGTGCAGCATCCTTCCATTTCTGTCTTGGTTGGGAGTCTTCCATAACTGTCTGAAAAATGTACTTAGAAGTTTGTATTGAAGTATGGGAAATTTCTTTTTTGGTACATATATTTTTAACTTTTAGAAGATGTTTGTAAAAACAGGTGGGACCACTTGTTTCAAGTTCTTTTTTTTTGTTTTTTTTTTTTTTTTTTTTTTTTGTTTTTTTTTTTTTGTTTTTTTTTTTCTTATTTAGTTGCTGTATCAAGAATGGGCAAGATACGGAGTATTTTACAAGTTTCAGCCTATTGACCTCATAAGGTAATATGAACTTGTATCAAACACTAATAATATCAAACCTGGTTCTCAACTGACGCAGATTAATTAAATTCCTTCCAGCTATTACAGCAAATGAAATCTTGGATTGATCAGAGCATTAAAAATAATGCTTTTCTGTTTCTCTGATCCTAGTTTACTGTAACAAAAATACACTAACAGTAATGTACCTTTGTTTCTATATAGTGCTTATTCCTGGAAGAATGTAATAATTCAGATTTTTTTTTAAAAAAGTATTGATTCTTTCAAAAAATAGGAATTATTATTTACATTGATGAATTTTTATTGGAGAATATGGTCACAAAATCTGGTGAATAATCATAAGCTGGTGTTCACGTCATGAATCACTGTGAAAGTATTGGACAGTTTTGAAACTGATTTAAATATTTTATTCTTTATTTTAACAAGTTTTATTCATCTGAACACATCCATATGAGTTCCAAGTGTTTTTTGTATATTTTGAATTTTGATGTTACAAACAGAAGAAGCTGAGCTTAAAATAAGACAAAACAAAACAATCATACTTTCTAAGGAATTTCCACATCTCTATAAGAAAGCCAAACCAATACTGAGTAAAGATAAGGAAATGTCTGTAAGAACTTCTGACTTGAAATATTCTTACATGAAATACCTGTCTAGGAACAAATTGACTGTGATATTCACAAACAATTAAATAAAAACCCCCAAACCTTGTTTCTGGATAATTTGTATACATAAGAAAGATGACATTAGTTAGCATTTATCTTTCTTATAATCAAACTCCAATTAGTTTTTATTATATGATCTGCCCTTATGTGATTACCTGCAAAATCTGGTGTCAGTAATATGGATAATGAATAATCTTTGTAAAATATATCTGTTGTATTTTGAGTTAAAGTTGGAATACTGCTTATAGTTTTTCAAAGACTTAACCACTCACCTGTGACATGAGCAGAGCCGTTCTTTATTGGGAGCAAGATGTTTCAAACTGGCAAATGATAGTGAGACAATCAAATCTTACTAAGGTTCTGCAAAGCTTTGAAATTTAGTCTTTTTTGCCTTAATGTTTTTGTGCAGGATTTATGTGCTTTTTGAATACCAGGTATTCCAGACCTGGCTACTGTATGGAATAGGTAAATTCAGAACAATATTACAATGCCTGGTATATTGTTAGTAAATGTTACACATGTTAAGTTAAACTGTGACTGGCTAGAGGAATACTCAAGTTTTACCAGACCTGGCAACTCAGCTGAATCAAAAATAGAGGTACATCTGTTTACACTCCATCTTCATTTGTATTTTGCTATCTCCATTGTAATGTCTCACTGGTCTGATATGATTTCATAGAAATTCTGAGGTTTAAACTTCTGTGAGAAAGAAAAAAAATGACCGGACATGTGCAATTGATTTTTTGTTCTCAGAGATTATTTTTCTTTTATTTATCCTCTATACTTTGCTTCACTGCAAGTTTGACTGTTACCACTAAAATAAATGTGGTTTTTATTTTCTTGATAGTATATACACACCTGAAGAATTACTACCCTGTTTATTTCTGCATCTGAAATAGGTTTTTGCACTTCTACACCGTAGGAGGCATTTGAGCTCAGTGTCAATGTGGATGACTATTCCCTTGGCAAACATCAGCCACATTTCATGGATTTTGATAATTTATGGTGATCCTTCTTCCTTAGATGTATTAGATTATACTTGACTTCTTTTGTGATTATAGGAGCACTGTGTATCTTAACAGGTTTATATTCAGGCTTTGATGGACAGAAGCAGCAGCATTTATACTCAAAGCCTGTTCTGACTGATGTTTTCAAATGCATTAACTCTGTTGAAGTATGTTCCTTAAATAATATTCACATCCCCCAATTAATTAGATATTTTAGTCTAATTTTTAATACGATTTGCAATGTAAATCTTTTGAACTATTACTGTTTCACCTTTATTCAGCAAGAATGCAAATTCAAAGTCATTCTTTAACTGAAGTGCCTATGCTTAAGACTAAATATAGCACTGTAGAGTTATTATAAATCATTCCTGGAGCCTTAGTACCTAGCTTCTGGCCATACAGTTGTGGACAATTTCCAAGTGATTGTACACCAAAGGTAGGAACAACATATTTGCTATGCTCACTCTTGTCACAGACCAGGGATTCTCTGAGGTCTCTTCTAAGGTCTGACATCCTGAGGGAATATTAACTGCATAATCAGTCTTAGAATATTCTCAAGCACTTTATAACATAAAAATAAATAAAGGACCATTGCGATATTTGCTGACAGTTCCATTCATGCCTGTGTCTTGATCTGGAAAAATATTCTGCTCTGGCTTTATGTACCTCTTTGGATTATAGGGAAAAGCTTTTTTTTTTTTTTTTTTGTAAATTAATAAAAGCAGTTGTGAGTGAGGAGACTCACCAAATGAGAACATGGTGGGTGTTACATATTTCTATTCTAGAACAAGACAATTTCAGTTAAATACCTTAAGGAAATATATAGTGTGATCATGCAGATAGTACACTGTGAATTGAGGGATAATTTGTAAAAGTTCATAACACCACATCTCTCAGTGCACATCCAGATATTAAATAACATTGCTTAAAACAAAGCCTGGTTAATGCAGTGTTTTATTTTTAAAATCATATGCATGTCTAAATATAACCATATGAATTAAATTTTTACCTTTCATATACGTCTTTTTTCAACTCACATGAAGAAAATGCTAAACATTTTTTGAGGGGAAATTATGAATTATTTTCTAACAGATATCTTAGGGTGGAAGTACAGAAAACAGTATACTGCCTCTTTCAATCACCCTTAGACTTGGAAGGAGGCATGAGTGATTTCTTAACAAGTAGAGAATGAAAGCTACAGTTCTAGGATGTGCAGGGCTCTAGAGGTTTGTCTGTTATAATATACATTTTCGGCATCCTAATTTAAATATTGATTTTCCTAGAGGGGAGTTTCTCTAGTGTAGCTTTCTTATAGAAATACACTTATCAACAGTACTTCCAGTCCTTGTAATGTAATATAAGAAGTGCTATAAAAAAAAAATCTGTGGTCCAGTGATTTTTTTCTATTTTGATAATAATTTTTCTCAAGTGAAGATGAGTTCAAACCCATTTTTTAGCAATTTTTGCAGTTAATGCATTTGTTAGTTTCTAAGGGATAATACCACTGTCGATCCAGAGACAGGGAGGACACTCTTTACGAGTTTTATGAACTTGCATAAAGAAAAGAGGTTTTATGATTTTTTAAATAAATGTTACAGTATCTTAATCAAATTTTTAACAGTGTGATTCTAGAATTAATAGGTTGTCCTAAGACCTACCCTCTGCTCAAAGAAGGGCTGGCTTGAAAGCCAGATCAAATTGCTCATGAGTTTTGAAATCTCGGAGGATGGAGATCATGCAGATTCTCTGGACACACTTTCCATTACTGCACCACTCTCATGGGGAAGAAATTTTTCCTTCTGTTCAGACAAAATTTTACTTGGTATAACTTGCAGCCATTGTCTGTTCTTTTAACAGTGCACCTCTAATGAGTTATAGCAATTCAAGAAAATATATATCAAGTCTAAGAAGTACAATAGAATTTATAATAAATTATATTTCTGACTGAATGCAACCTTTATCACTTAGAACTAAATAAGAGTGAAGTGGGTATGCTAACATTACTGATATCAGAAAGAGGTGGTTATCCTTCTGAGACAAAAGCTTGCCTGACTCCGGGAAAACTAGAGAGTTATCTTCTTAATGGACATCTTGAAGCATCTGCAGATGGGAACCCATTAATGAAGTGAAATTCTGGATAGGGGACCAACATCATAGAGGATAGGTCCCCTTTTTATATCTTGTTATCACCCTAGGGAAGCCAAGCAGAGCTAGCTCATTTTTAATTGTGGTGGAGCTTATTTTAATATTACTACTTCTAAAAGGTCCCAGCTCATCAGCTGCTTCTAACCTGTCTTATTTTTCACGTTTTCTTTTCTATTTTCTTCACCTAACTTCTTAGTAACTAACAGGCAACATTACCTATACCATGATGACTTTCAAAGCTCCAATACCTATATATGCTTATCCTGCTGCAAAACCTAAAACTGGGGAGACAATAACTCTTTTCGCAAGAGTAGGTGGAAAAGGGTGTTAACCAAAATATTATTTGTAGTGTGTAGTATGTAAATCAAAACTTGGGAGTTTCTGTTGCTCAGAATGTCTGCATAATATATTTCCTCTTTCCTATTTCTAACTATGTTTTTCTTTGCTATGGAACATTGTTTCAACTTCATGTGTAAAGAATTCTGGACCTTCATTGCGGTGCGCCCGTGTTGAATCTGCCCTTGACTGAACAGTCACCAGCTCCCCCCTGTTCCTGCATTTGAATTCTATATTCCTAAAGCACAGCAGCCTGCAGCTTTCTCTTCCTGGCAGTTTTTAAAGCAATGACAGACCTATGATGTTCTGAACTTTGATTGTCTCGGCTCTGGATACTGTTGCCTTCACTTTCAGTGTCTTGGGGCCTGTGTAATGCAACATTCAATGTAAGCAATCAGTCTGCAAAAGTGTTATTGCTGGTTTACCTTTTTGTATTTTTCTTCTTTCATCAATCTTCACCACACACACACACACACACACAAGGTATATCTGCTTACTCTACTTAGGGTAAGGTAGTTTTAAAGGAGCAATAAAATAAGAAAAAGGGAGTTCTGATGAAATGGTGCTTTTGTTGTCTTTAGAGATAAGTGTTTCTTCTTTTGCAAAAGTGCAGTTAAGATAATTTCTGGTACAGCATTTCCCTAACTGTGGCCATCTATTCTGCCTAATGCATTAGCAAATCACTGCTTCTTTCAGCACTGTGTTTTGTAGCCACACCTTCATCTCTTGAGAGAGAACATTTGTCCTTGCATATTGTCTAGAACTCTAAGAACTTGAAAACAAAGGTCTGCAGTGCCCTCCCTAATTCCAGAGGTACCTCAAATGTTGTTCAATTATTGTTTATGCTAAC